GTAAAGGTAAGTAAGTAGTAGTTTACTTTCTTACTTAACTAATAGTTAGTAGTATAGTAGTGTAGTATATATATATATATATATATATATATATATATATATGAAAACGGAAACTATTTGCAGCCCGCCTATGCCAATGGGATCAGCCAAACGGATGGGACCACCTTGCAGAATTTTAACGGTTGTAATCTCTCCTGGCGTGATTTCAAATTCAACCTATGCAAATAGCCTGACGGACCATAAAATTCTATCTCCCTAGCGTCATGGGGCAGCAGGCCTCTCTCTTTCAAACAAAAACCCAAATCTCTCTCTCTCTCTCTCATGAGGCTAGAGAGATAGAGAGCGAGAGAGGCCCCATGACGCTAGAGAGATAGCGCTTTATGGTCCGTCAAGTAGATCTATGAACACATGAAAATCTTGAAAATGATCTATAAACACATGAAAATCTTGAAAATGGACGGTCCAGATAATGTGTTGCAAGATACACTATTTCTCGTACTCAAAATCTTTTTTTCTTTTCATATTCATACATCTCGATATCGAGATGATCAATTAGAGTGTTTTCCAACATCCAAACAACCTTTTATGATGGATTTTTGATGTGCACCTTTAATTCTACATTTTAAGATTGCAACTTTATATAAACTTTTTCTTTTTAGAAATAATCCACAAAGAAGGAAAAATATAAAAATAAGTATTTAAGGCCAAAATACTTCCCAATCTTTTTCGAAACAATAAAAAATATTAAAAATCTTATTAAAATATTTTTCTTATTTTTCGAATTTTTATTTTTCATTTTTTTAAAAGTTTTTGGCTTGACCACCCTAACCAGCCAAAACCGGTCATGGCCAAAGACCAATCCTCGATAACACGTCCGGGTCGGGCCGACCCGCCTGGTTTTACGAACACTCCTATCTAGTATCACAATTTGTCATGTTAGAATTGCTCTTTCTCTCTAGTGTTGTGATTTGTTTTGTTAGGATTGGTCTCTCCCCCTCCCCCTCTCTCTCATTTCCCCGAGGGAACAATAATCTTTACAATAGTATAAAAAGATGATTTTTTTATTAGCAAAAAAGATCCTGCTAACTAGGCTGTAGAATAATATAGTCCGAACGGCCTAGATTGATGGAGAGAGACAACGATCTACCAACTAGCAATTTCTTTTCATGAAAAAAATGGGGTCTAATGGAAATATCGGCAAAAATAAAAGTAACAAAAAAATTGAGAAAAAAAAGGGAAAACATCACATTGTTAGAGCATATTTATATTTCATGAGAATGAAAAAAGATTATAACCATTTTTGAGATTGATCGGTGCATGTTGCCAACCTTATTATTACTAGAAAGTGCTTATTTTAAGGTATTGTCATTCTTATATTTTTCAGGCATGTCCGAAGGCCGAGAACTGGCCGAAAAAACCAGTTTCAGCATAAGTTGTGTCGCAAGTATCCGTGTTTTCGTATATCCTTCGGGATCAGGCCCCAGAAACATTCCCAAGTACACAGTCCAAGTGATCAACAACTCTTTACAAGGGGTGTTCAATGTGCATTTAGACTGTGGCTATTTCACGTCGGGCTCGTTGATTCTGCCAATGATTTTCCGGCGCTTACAGCCAGGGGATTGCCTGGTTAACGATGGGAAAGAGATAGGACCAGGGAAGATCATTCAATTTGATTATACAAATACTTTTCTTGATAAATTTCCTGTAACCAGGGCTGACTGCTCTTAGAATTTGTGATTTCCATCTCAGAACATGCAATTCTTCATTTTAAGTTCTTTCTACTTAGACAAAGTGCACTTTTGGTCTCCGTGTGTTTGAGAGAGAGTGATTTAGTGTGTGTAAATATTTGTTGGTTATGGAGAATGATTTAGTGTGTTTGTGTGTGTAAATATTTGTTGGCTATGGACAATTGGTTGAGGATTGAAATGTTTTGTTGCAAGGGATGTTCATGCTTCATGTATTTCTTTATGCTTTACGTGCTCTTTGCAATGAATGATTGTGGTTTGCGGTAGTGCTTTAAAATTCGGTTAGGTGGGTCAAATCGCTTACCCACTAATTTTCAATCGATTGTGTTTATTCAACATACAGTCTCCACTGAATCAACCTTATTAAAAAAGAATTTTTTTTTTAAAAAGCTTATAAATATTTAAACAAGGCTTAGGTAAGTCAAATCAACCTAAAAATGCTGGTTCTAAAAAAAAGGAAAAATGCTTCTTAACATTTAGTTGTTAGTATTTTTTGTTTTGAAAAATATGGTGTATTTCAAAATAACATAATGATTTATATGGTTTTTCTGAAGTTTTAAATAATATTGATAGAGAAAGGAGTGAGTTCTAGTCCACAATGAAAAGGAGAGTGTGGATTGAGTCCTATTATTTACATTTCATACAAAAAGGTCATAATTACTTATAACCATGCGATGTAAAGTCCAATTGCTTGAATATTTCACAAAGTTTTAGAATTTTTTTGAAGTGTGAGTTTAGTCAATAGAATAAATGTAGCCATCCAATGATTAAATTAATTGTGACCAACATATACCAAAGATAAATGGATCATTGAAAGCAAAAAATATACTCTTTTGGTGAGACCACTATCAACACATGGTCTCCCACCCAAACACATGGTACTTAAGGGGGTTTTAATCTGATTTTTTTTTTAATTAATTTTCTTTCACACTCAATAAAATCTCAATAAAAATTTTAAACAAAATTGACTCTAGACCATCCATTATAGAGACAAATAAATCTGGAGTTTTGAAATGCTTATTTCATTTTAAAAATTGTTCACCAGGTGAATCAAAGTAGATCAAAAAATATTCATATAAAAATAGATTTGGTTTGCTTGAGGTTGCAACCTTAACAAATCAAGATAAGGCGTGCCTCCAAATTTTATCGTAAATATAATTTTGGTGTCAAAAATTCTTAGGATGGCTTGAGAATCTATTTTGATTTCTACTTATAAAATTTTAAGCTCCAAAAATAGTTCAAATCAAGTCGATCTATGAACACACGAAATTCTGGAAAATGGACGGTTCAGATAATATGTTACAAGATACAATATTTTTGGGACTTGATATCGGTTTTTCTTTTTATATTCATATGTCTCGATGTTGAGATGATCAATTAGAGGGTTTTCCAACATCAAAACAATATTTTATGACAGATTTTTGCGACCTTATATATTTCCTGAAAAAATATACTCATAGCAATGTGTTCTGCTTGCTAGACCAGGTGCTAGTGTGGTCAAGCTAGGCCACCATACTGGCCAGCTACTGGAAATTCTCGTAAGTGGAAATATTCGAAAATTCACCTCTACATATCCCTATTCACCCACTAACAACATTAGCAACCAAGGGGGATCATTTAATAAAGGGAAAAAATCACTATTTAATATTTTACCCATATGTTTTGATTCAATTTTGCCCATCAAAATACATGGGATTTTGGGATGGAGTAGTATAAGAGGTAAAATTTTAAGGGAAATTTTCGTATGCATCATTATTTTTTGGGTGTGGTTTGTATAGAGCCTAAGCTCTAAACAATCAAATTAGAGCCTACCTTCAAATAGTATCGAGAAATGTGGTTTCAAAATTGAAATTTTTTTTGATTGCCTTAAAATATATTTTTATATTTATTTATAAAGTTTAAAGCTTCAAAAGTAGTGTAGATCGCCCGATCTATGAAAACTTGAAATCTTGAAAATTGACTGTTCAAAAATGGGTTACAAAATACATTATTTCCAAAACTTGAAATCCATTTTTTTCTCATGTCTATACATCTTGATATCGAGATCATCAATTTGAACATATTTGGGCATCAAAACAACCTCTTTTAGTGAAACTTTTGAGCTAGGCTGATATTTGATTGTTTAGAGCCTCGGCTCTATATAAACTTGATCCATATTTTTTACCATTATTACGATATGGTCTCAAAGTATGTAATATTCATGCAAAGGTTCTCGCTCCCCCTTTTTTTTTCTTTTTTTTTTTATCAAGTTTACCCCCGGTCCTATGTTTTAAACATCGGACTGTATATTAAATGTATTTTGTTTTTATTTTTTGACATTCATAAGTTAGTTTGATATTAAAAACGTTGGAACCACGATCGCCCTACACATTTTAGTTGGTTCGATGTTAGTAAATGGTTGAACTGCGACCGCCCAAAAATTTTTAGTCGATTTGATGTTAAAAACATCTTCCACCTTAAACCAATTAACATCTGACCGCATTAATTGGTGAAAACTTAGCTGGTGCATGTTAAGGGAGCCATGTTACCTAATACTAATACATTTACAATCTCAATTGGTCTTAATTGGTGCATGTTAAGAGAACCATGTTTCTAGTACTAATGCATGTACATCAATGAGACACATACCATGGTACTGAAAAAGCGATCCCATGTTTCTAACATTGGACTGTATTTAGACCTTATTTTTTGAAGGTCTAAGGTAGAAAAAAGTGTAGGCCAGTCCGATTTTTGTGGACCGCCGTACAAAATTGGTGTTCGATGTTTTGACGTTGAACTGACCTATAAATATATTAAAGTAAGAAATAATAATTTTAATATGCGATTCAATGTTAAAAATGTTTCAAACATCAGACCGAAGACAAACTTGAAAAAATGAAAAATTGCAGGGACAAGGACCTTTGCATAAATATCACAAATTTTTGGACCATCACGTAATAGCGGTCAAATAAAATGGTACATAATTTCCCCAAATGTTAAATACTTAAAAAGTGACGTATCACATAGGCAAGGGCAGAATAAGATGTGCGCTATCTCCAGAGGCAAAGGAGGATAAGCTTGTGCGCTCTTCTTTTGGGATGAGGCCATGTCTGACACGATAAACTTGTGGAATGAGTTTATGAGGATGGGTTGACAGGATAAGCTTATGTGCCTCTTCTTTTGGGATGAGGCCATGGCTGGCTATGGAGAAGAGGAGGAGTGAGAGCCAAGTGGTGCCAGTTTTGGGGGCAGAGGGGGATGACCCACAAAGTTTTTGGAGAAATCCATTGCTGCTTCGATATGATCCGTCAGATACTGATAGCTTGGCCATTGTGGTACCCCGTAAATTTTTGGTGGTGGGGAGACAAGCTGAAGATGGCCATCTACCAAGGGATGAGGACAGTCAAATGATAAGTTGGAGATGGCACACATTTTATCCTGCCCTTGCCTCTGTGATACGGTAGTTATAATGTCGTATAATATGGCTTAGGTTTTACAATATTTAAAGTACCATAATATTAATTCAAGTTTTTACGATAATACGACTACTTATTTTGGTCATAAAACGTCGAAAATTGAAGAAAAAAGGTGTGGACGAGGTTTATGAAAGTTTGAGGTTTTGTCTAAGTAGACGAAAATTAAGGTATATTTATGATAATTTCCCTTTTTCCTTTATACATTTACATAAAGGAAATTATTTATATAAGGTTGCAATTATTGAAGTAAGGTGCACATAAAAAATCCTTTCGAAGAGAGTGCTTCGATATCAGAGAAACCTCAAATTGATAATCTCAACCCCAAGATGTGTGGATAAGAAAAAGAAAAAGATTTCAAGCCTTAAAAATAATGCTTGTAACAAGTTATTTAGACTATCTATTTTTAGATTTTGAAGGGTTCATAGATATACTCGAATGTGTACCATTTTTTAAATTTTAGATTTGGGATAAGTTTATATAGAGCATAGGCTCTAAACAATCAAATTGGAGCCTACCTTAAAACTTCCATTAGAAGAGGTTCTTTTGATGCCCAAATATCATCAAATTGATCATCTCAACATCAAGATGCATGGATATGAGAAAAAAATAGATTTCAAGTTCTTGAAATAATGCTTCTTGTAACTTATTTTTGGACCATTAATTTTTTAGATTTTCAAGTTTTCATGGATCTGCTTGATCTATGCTATTTTTGAAATTTTAAATTTTATAACTAAAGATGAAAATATAATTTAAGGCTATCACAAAACTTTTTAGTATTAAAACCATATTTCTCTACACTATTTAAAGGTGGGCTCTAATTTTAATTGTTTAGAGCTTCGGCTCTATACAAACCGCACCCTTTAGATTTCATAACTAGGGATAAAGATAAATTTTAAAGACGTCATAAGGTTTCTGATACCAGAACTACATCTCCATACAAATTTTAAGGGTGCACCTTACTTCTACTATATAAAGAGTACGACCTCAACCACTAGGTAGGTCCATATCCACTTGACGTAGACCCAGTCCTAGTTCAGGTCTACATTGTACCTATAGAAAAAGGTGGTTGGATGATGTCATAGAGTACCCATTAGAATGGTGGGTTTTTTACGAGTCAGTCGACTCATCTGTATAAAAGCATCCCCCTCCAAAATCTATGTTAAAGATGTATTTTTTATCCAAATTTTTTGTGATTAATAATTTAGGCAAGGTGATCCTGAATAGGTTTTTATTTAAAATGTGTTTTACTTTTTAGAGTTTTTTTGTGCTGTCAATTTGATATTTTGGTCTAGTGCACTTCTCATGACATCTGCCTTAAAGATGGACGTTTGTGGGTCAGTAGACTCATGTGCCCCTAATTCACATAAAACATGCCCTTTTAAAACTATTTGTTTAACCTTCTTATTGATGTACTATGGTTTCTATACCACCTTTTATAATTTTTTACTGCTACTTTTACAATATTACAAGGACCTAGTTTCTATGCGGCCAAGCCCGCATATAGAAATGCAGGCCTCTTAATAAATTTATTTTTGAGATACATTTTATGACTTTAATATTTTAAGGACATGTAATCTATAACATGGAGATCATGAATATGAAAAAAATAAATAAATTTTAAAAACTAAAAATAATAATTCTAGTAAGAAAACATTTGGACCGTTAGTTTCCATAGTTTTTAGATTGAACACCTTAGGTTCCATTGTTTTTAGATTGAACACCTACTTGCATCCATCTTTAAGATGAATGCTTTACACTTTCTAGACCGCATACATAGAAATGCAGTCTAGGCCGCATGAAACAATTTTCCATATTACAATGATCATGATTATCATTTTTTTGGGTAATGTAGTGGGAAGACAAGCCCATACCTTTTTTCAAGTAGATTAAAGGTTAGTTTTTTTTAAAGTATTAATAGGATGATGTTAGTGGTGCGAATAAAAACCACAATGTGGTGATTAGGGTGTGGGGTACTACCACCACGACCCCAACCCCTTTCCTCATCATGATCATCATAGTCATGAAATAAATTTTTTTAGATAATTTGGCACATTCTTGCAACGTTTGACAAGTATGTAGAAGCCACTATAAATAGATGCTTAGGCCATCAAATGCTTAGGCCATCAAAGGGGTTAATGATAGGGGGTGGAAGTGAGCAGGCCGGTCCAGCAGGACATGGCAATCAGGCCCAATACGGGTCGGGTTCAATTCTTTCATGGGCTTGTCAAAGTAGGCCTGGCCTAAAGTGCATGTGATGTTACAAGGTGTGACTCAGGTATTAGTATTAAAACCCAATAAGCCCGAATTATATGCGATTTACATATAATATAAATTGAATAGTACAATTTATGTAACTTACAAAGCTGCGCTGTAAGTAAGGCCCCAAAAATTAAACAATTAAAGTTAGGAACACCTTCAAACCTTGTTGAAAGATACAATTTCATTGCCGGAGACCCCTATAATGGCCTGAAAAGCTATATTTACTTCTAATTATAAAATTCAAAGCTCCTGAAAAATACAAATCAAACAAATTTATTAACATATGAAAATCTTGAAAAAGAACAGTCCAAATAATTTGTTGCAAGATGTATTATTTTTAGAACGATCATTTCTTTTTATATCACTATATCTCAAGGTTAAGGTGATCCATTTGAGGGTTTTAAAAAATAAAAGAAGGTAAATGTGTGTGTATTATATATAGAATATACGAGGTTGGGTTAGGTCTCAGGGCTAGACCTAGTCTCCACCTCACTCAACTTTCAAGGCATAGTTCTGAACCTAGACCCCACCTTGTGCTAGCCTAAAAGTTGAACCCAAACCAATGCCACGTTGGGCCAGTCAACGAGATTCGACTCGACCCGATCACCAACCCTACTCGGCGCCCACTAGGAAAAAGATGGGTCTTATCCATATGAGATTTCCGTTATTTTACATTTATTCTATCAGGAGGGAATCATCCAAATATAGGGTTTCTTCTTTTTTAAGTGACTACTTCTCCTTCCCTAAATTTGCTTATATCTAGTAATCTTTAGGATTTAAGTCTTTAGGATTTAAATTTTTTGTCATAGATATATTGAAAATAAGTTAAATAGAGGTTTTATATAAGTATGGGAAACATTTATATAAGGTTGCAACCTTGAGATGTAGAATTACAGATGCACCTTAAAAATCTATTTGAAAGGTTGTTTTAATGTTGGAAAACCCTCTATTTGATCATCTTGACATCAAGATATATAAATATAAAAAAAAGAAAAGTTTTTGAGTCTCAGAAGTAGTGCATCTTGCAACACATTATCTAGACCGTCCATATTCAAGATTTTCATATGTTTATAGATCTCCTTCATTTTAACTATTTTTGGAATTTAAAATTTTCTAATTAGATATGAAATAGATTTTAAGATAATCCTAAGAATTTTTTACAACAAAATTACGTGTTATGATAAAATTTGGAGGCCAACCTTAATTGGATTGTTTGAGGTTTGCAACCTTATAGAAACCACACCTTTTATATTATTGATTGTGAAATCTAGGCTCAAAGAACAATATGTATGACAAATTTATGAACATTTAAAATAAATAGTCTAAATAAATGATCATATAATACACCATTTTTAGAGTTTGAAGTCTATTTTTTTATTATCATTGTCGAGACAATTGGTTTGATATTTTCCTTGCACCAAAATAATAATATTCAAATAAGTGATTTAAAAAACATCAGGTTGGCAGGGAATCGTCCAGTTCGACCCGAAAATCAGTCATCTCATATCGATTCTTTCAAAATATTGGAGATTGTCGGGGTCTAGATGAGAACCATCAATTTGTTATAGTAAAACAATATTTTTTTTAGGTAATTCAATAGCTGTGGGCATTTTGAAGGTGTTAATTGAAGGTGTCAACGGTAAAAATAGATGCCACGATGTGATAACTGGGTGTGGGGATGATACCACCACGACCACAACCCATTTTCTTAAAAGTGATAAGTCAATGGGGATTTAGGCCCTTACTTTTGGTGAGAATGGAAAATGAAACATTATCGGGCTCAACGAGGCTACTGTCGGTTCACCGATCCTATCTGGTTTTTGGTCGGTCTCTTGTTTTTGTACATGTTTTTTCTGTATAGTAAAATACAGTGATGAGAAGTGCCGACCGATTCACCGAACCGAACTGAACCGAACTAGTTGTTGTGATGCCCGATCTAAATCACCCATTTGTTTTTTAAATCACTTATACAAATATTTGAGTTGTGGCGTTACCCCTTTTCTTTAGAAATTTTATTCGCTCTCTCAAAGACAAAAGTAGAAAAAGAGTGTTTCTGTCATTATGAAAGTATCCTATGGCTTTTTAGTCATCTTCAAATATCGTTGTTATTTCGAATTCCCCAATAAAAATCTCTCTCTCTTTAAAATCCCTGTCTTCTCATTCTGAAAGCCACCACCACTCTGTCTCTGTCGCATTTTTCCCATCTCTCTGTTCTCTCTCTCTCTCTTCAGCTTCTGTCTCATTAATTTCCATCTCTTTCTCTGCATGTTTCTCCATGGATTACAGTAAGTGGGCTGAAACCCATCAACAACAACAACAACAACCGGTATCTTCTCAGCTTCATCCAACCGATAGTTTCTCTCTCCACCAACCCTATCACCCTTACTATCCATTATATCACAACCCCAGTACCCATCAACCCTCTGAATATGGAGTTCCATCTTCTCTGAAACTCCCACAAAATGGCCCCCATTACTCAGCTCCACCCTCAATGGCTTCTCAATCCCACAACGCGCTTGATATTTCTCAATCTGATACTTCTTTGAGGCCTCCTGGTAGTGAATCTTATGCTCCTATGGGTCCACCCACCATGAGTTCTTATACCCCACAATCTGGTTTTGAAGGTCAGGGCCCTTATCACACTCATATACCTGGAGCGATGCCACCAAATTTGGGGTATTATCAGGACCCCGAGACGCAGTCATGGGCGGCGAAGGAGGCTATAAAGCAGTTTGGTGCCGATCCTTTGGTTTTTGGAGCTGTAAGAAAAAAACCTAATAACCCCAATCTCTGGCTCTCTCTCCCATTATTTTGATATTGTTTATTATTATAGGAATGGATTGGAAAACTGGGTTCTCTTCTTTTTGTCAGATTTTTACTTTTTTTGTATAATTTTCTATTGAGGTGTGACCTAGTGCTGGTTAGAATAGAGAGGATGTTGTTATTTTCGTTATTTTTATCTGAATCATCCATTGTCTGTACATTGCTTGTTTTAATGTTGACTAGATAGGGGAGTTGGGTCTACTGGTTTGCTGTGTACTATGTTAATTTGCTCATGAAGGTTCTTCAAGTTTTGATTTTTGACAAGTATTCGATGTGTACGAGCCTTGCTGATATCATTTTTTGGGCATGTTGTTACTGTTAGACGGAGTGCTTATTGTTTGTGTGTCTTGTTTAAGTTGATCTTCTTTGGTGTGATTTAGTGGATATATATCTTTTGTTCCTAGTTATTACAATGGCCCATCTTGTCCTTAGTCATTACTTGATTGGAGCGCTAAATGTTCAGTGATTGCAATGTATCTCATTTGTTCTCAGTTGACTGAGTTAATTTAGTACCATTTTATTTTAAAGTGCCATTTTTCCTTATAACTATAAAGCTGAGTTAATTTAGTACCATTTTATTTTGTAGTGCCGTTTTTCCTTATAATATATAAAGTTAGTACCATCAAATTCATATTTAATCTTAAACCACATCTTTAATGAGACTGGCAAGAATTTTAATATCATTGCCTCATTTATTTGGGTGGGATATGCAACTTAATTAAACAACTTGACAAGGCTGACATGATGTCTACAACACTGAAGTACTCCCCAGTTCCCGCTATAGAAAACTACTCATCAAAATGCTTATCAAGAACTTGGACCTTGTTCTCGTCTCTTTCCTCCAATCCTATGATAGTGGTTTTGATGTTTTCCCAATTCCCATATTGCTTTCACACTATAGTTTCAAGATTTCATGAGAAAAAAATTTGCTTGGCAAACTTAGATAAATTGTTGCGGTTTTAATTCCTTTTTTCCTTGATGAAGGTGAACTTTATATTAAAAATAGTAAAAATATACAAAAACCAAAATAAGTGGTAAAGGCAGCCCACAGAATGGGTGCTCAGAGTACTCAAGTGGTCGGGGAGCCTGAAGAATCTAGAAAACAAAACCAAAAACGGAGAGCTTAAACTTAAAATGGCCATAAAAGGGGAAGGAGGAAAGGGGTCTTCTGCTGAATGTATGCTATCTGGGGTAAGTAAGTATAGCCCGAATTGTGGATACATAAGCCCAAGTGAAAAGGGTGAGAATAGAGGTAAGAAAGAGAGGAAAAATAAATAAATAAAAAGAGAATGGGGACAAAGAGAGAGATACATGGATAGAGAGAGGAATGAAGCAAGAGAGAAGGAGAAAAAAAAATGGTTAAGGGAAGAGAAAACATATGAAGAAAGAGAACAAAAGAGAAATATACATGAGGTAGGAGGGCTCAAGAGACAACTCAAGCCTCTAAGGCTATTGAGGCTTGTGTCACCTTCAAGTATTTGACTCTGTTACATGCTTGCGCCCCAAGTAAACTGTTTGCAAGGAATCACCTGCAGGGGAAATAGATAGAGAGAGAATGCAGAGATATAGCGGGAGAGGAATGAGACGGATAAGGATAGAGAGATAGACTAGAGAAGAAGAGATGGATAAGAGAAGAGAGAAAGCTCATTGAATAGTATGGAGAGAGCAAGAAGAAAGGTAGACGCACAGGTAGGAAATAACAAGAGGTAGGAGAGATGCAACGAGGGTATAGAGATAACACAGGATGAGAAGATAGATTGTAGGGGGAAAGTTGTCATAAAGAATATTCTATGAATATATGACAATTTTTTTCTCTGTTGTTTCTTCTTTTTTGCTATTTTCTCTTTCTTTTTCTTTCCTGAGAAAGAATGAAAAATGGGAGGATACAGAGAAGACAAACTATACAGTAGAAGAAAGAGACAAGAGGAGGGGAGGGAGGGGGGGGGGGGGGGGGTGAGATAAGAGAGAAGACAAGCTTGTGCCGGGAACAATAAGGGCTCCATCCTTAGCAAGTCCTTCTGCTGTTGAGTTGGCTTCTCGGAGGATATCTTTGAAGGAAACTAGTGGTAGAGATTTGCATTTGAAAGCAATCTGGACAAAAATGGTCGGGAGGTGCCAACGTGGCTGTCTGAGGTTAGATGCCCAAAGGATTTTGTTGCTTGAGTCGGCCTCTACTTGCACACTGATAAACTGTGTGGCAACTTGAGAGGCTCTCTTAAGGCCTTCGAGCAAGGCAAGGGCTCTGCTGTGGTAGAGTCTAAAACTCTCAAGGGTTTCGAAAAGGAAAGGAAAACTCCTACAGAGTTGGCCAGGGTGCTGCCAAAACCTAAGGGACCTGGGTTTCCTAGAGGGGAACTATCTGAATTAATTTGAGAAAACCCAGGGGAGGAGGATTCCATACAACCCTATATTAGGGAGGGGGAGAAGCAAGGGAAAGAAGGCAGTTCCAATTTGCGAGGAATTTTGTTAAGGGGAGGGATTTGTAGGTGGGGATATTATTGGCCCATAAAGATATCAAAGCCAAAATGGAATCGAAAAGAGGAGATAGGTGTCTAGCAGATCCTTAGAAGAGCCATGCATTCCTTTCTAGCCAAATGGACCACAAGACAGCCAAAACTGAGATATGCCATAATTTTCCACCATTGCTAGGGAAAGGAGGGGAAAACAATGTCAAAAAGAGTTGAGGAAGGGAATTGGATGCCGAAAATTTGGAGGGGGAAGACCAACGGGAGAAGGACATCTCACAATGGAGGAAGAGATGAGGGATAGTTTCCTCATCTTGAAGGCACAAACTACATCAATTGGGAAAGGAGAGCCACTCCTCCGAAGTTGGTCAAGAGTTAGGACCTTGCCTTGAAGGAGGATCCAAGTGAAAGCTTGGATTTTGAGGGGCGCAAGTATGGACCAAAGCTTCTTTAGGAGATGAAAGGGTTCCAAAGAGGTAAGGAGAGAGGAGTAAAAGGAGGAAACCTTGAAAGCCCTGGAGGGATTGGGGGCCTAGATGATAGAGTCGTCTCCAGAAATGGGTGAGAAGAAAGGGATTAACATTAGAAGAAGAGAGTTGAAAGAGCTGATTTCAGAACCAATAAGGTTTCTCCTAAATATGGGGGTCCAGACCAAGGATGACACCTTGCGTTCCACATAACTGGATACATGCATCTTGGTCTGTGGCCAAAAGGAAGAGAGAGGGGAACAATTGTCCTAGGGGTTGATCTCCAATCCAAAGGTCTTTCCAAAATCTAACCCTAAACCCATTCCTTATCTTGAATCTTATGAGAGTCCCGAAGGCAGATTTAGAAGTTGAGATAGACTTCCAAGCACCTGAGCCACCGTGCATAGGCCATCTGTTATCCCTAATGCCATATTTTGCCTTGATAACTTGTTTCCAGAGGAGAGGATGTGCCGAAGAGAATCTCCACCACTGTTTGCCCAATAAGGTAGATCATGAGGTTGATCTTCTTTATACCCACGTCACCAAACTTCTTGGGGCTACAAATCTTGTTCCAGGCAACTAAATGAAATTTATAACCTTCAAAGTCTCCATTCCAAAGGAAATCCCTAATAAGTTTCTCAAGGCGATATGGGAATGGACATAGGAATCTTGAAGAGAGACATCTGGTAGATGGAGATATTGGCCAAAGTTGCTTTTATAAGGCTACTCCTTCAGTCAAGGGCATTGAATCTACCCTTCCAATTGACAAACTTCCAAAGAGAACTTCTCTATAATACTGTCCCAAAGGTGTTTTCTAGGTTTACGTAAACACAAAGGTAGAACCAAGTACTAGGACAGGAGTTGATCAATGGCACATCCTAATTGATCAGCTAGGGACACAATTTCAGGATCTTGAACTCGCACTCCCAACATCTTAGTTTTGGACATGTTTATGGTAAACTCAGAACGTCTAAGGAAGAGCCAGAGATTATCCAGCTGAGGGTTCACCCCCACAAAAGATTAAAGTGTCGTCAGCGTAGAGAAGGTGAGAAATGAGCGGGCCATCTCTAGAGATTTGGAACCTGGTGGTTTTAATTCCTTGTTGCTTTTCTTTTTTTATTTTGTTTGAGGCTTCACATGAGTACTTGCCATTGTCTAACTCCACCACTCATTTCATGTCAATCCAAATTTTCTAATTGTTTGATATTTGAACTACTTCAAGGTTTCCTTCACACCCAAGAATAGTTTTCTCTACCTTCATGCCTTGCCTTTTGTTTTTCAACATATAAAAGATCTACCAAGTACCAATTCAATGCATACTCTGGTACTGGCACATGCTAATGTGATAGATTGTGTTTTTCCTTTGTCTCAAATCCTCTCGACTTACAGTCCTTGGCAACTATATTCAGTTGTTATCTTCATTGTTAAACCCCATGGCATATATATCGACTTTTCAGCAGTTCAACGTCCTTGCCCTTATGCATAACTATGGAATTGGCAGCATGTCAAACATGGTGGCTCTGTATCTGCCTTTTGCTCTGAGCAATTAATGCATTACCTCTCTTGGGATGCCAAGTTGCACATAGGGCATTGGGTTGTAACTTGCCTTAGGTCTTTGTTTGCCCCTTCACTAAATTGAATCATTAATTGCAGGCTCGCCTTGCCCTAAACCTTATTGCTTTGGCTGTTACTATTCATCTCTTCTTCCCATACAATGGCTAATTTCCTTGCTTATTGATATCTCTGACATGATACGTGGCTTTTCAAAAGCTTGAATGTCCCTTGTGTCAGGTTATGATGACCCTTCATAATGCTCTTGATAGATGAGGCATCCCTTTTCCTTTGCTGCACTAGTGAAAGATCTAGATCATCCTTCAGTAATCTGGTGCATGTTGTAATTTGCGTTGATTGCCAATTTGCTGCAATATAATACTAGGAAAAATTGAAAAGATGAAAACAGTAGCTGATTGTGTGGCCAAGTTAAAATAAGACAAAAAAAGAAACAT